ATCACCCTTTCACGAACGACACGTGCTTTGGAAACTACTTTAACATATATTAAACCATTCGTAAGTACTTTACATTACATAGAAATGCTTGTGAAAATGCTCTAGGGTATATTCACCTTTAGGTTTTACATATATGAAGTACAAGCGGTCGCCGGCGACTTCGTCCGCGCGGAATTAAAGAAAAATCATATTTAGTAGCCTATGTTTTCATGTTACCAAATTTCTTTGGAATCCGTTCCGGAGATACCTTCAAACAAACATCCATCCATCCATCTAAACATTCGCAATTATAATATTAATAAGATTAGGTAGGCTTTGAAACACAAAACAAATTATTATTTATATGACCTCGGTAGCATCTTTTCCGGGGCGAATAAATAAAAATTTTCGGCGAAAAAAATCGTACTTAATTTAAAAATCAGTATTTTAACAGTGGCATCGTGACCTTTGGCATGCTTATAACTCCCTCGCTACGGTATAATTTCATCGCGGTCAAGTGGTTAGACATAATGCAGTCTTCGCTTTTACAGTTTTTGTAGTCTAAAGTTACTAATTAACTTGTTTAAAAGATACTTTAGATTTGGATGAAAATTACAGAAATAAATTATGTTATGGTAGAGCCGGAAATTCTGAGAAGCAGACAGAAATTATACTTCCTAGTCGCTTAGTGTTAAGACCACCTTTCTTTCCTAAACATATAAATATTATAAAAGCGAATGTTTAGATGGATGGATGTTTGTTAGAAAGTATCTCCGGAACGGCTTAACGGATCTTGATGAAATTTAGCACAGCTGTAGAACATAGTCTGGAAAAACACATAGGCGGCTTATTTTTTTTTTAATTCTGCGCGAACGGAGCCGTCGACTATGAACTAAGATAAGATACTAGATACGTATTCATCATCTAATTTAAGACCTTAGTCGTATTTATTTCTGCATCATATTATGTTTTGTCACTATCAATTGTGTTAGTGAATGTGACTAGTTATCTCATTACAACAAAAACTTCGTTGTGTGTTATGCATTTAAAATTAATCTTTTAACTAAATGTAATATTACGTATTAAACTTTAGTATCGTGGTTCACGAGCGGTTGAATTTCATTTTTATGGACGTTCCATTGTTACTTACATAGTAAAAGCAATGAAAGTTTGAAATTGAAAGAAGCGGACGCACAAAAGAATTATATTGATAGAGTAGATACGAGGCGCGGCTAAAGGTATTGTTGTGATTGAATTCATTGAATAGAGCTAAGCTCAGTTGAAAGTAAATATACTATTATTATTTTAAAACTTTTTGTTAACGATTGAAAACGTAATTTTATACTGTTTATTGGAACCTTACAAAATACAGGTATCTTTGGGTATGTCTTTCTGTAAAAACTGTCTATGATGAATAAATTCGTAAACCTTAGCCACTTTTATTACCAAGTATTGCAACGAATCCTCAAAACTCCGACATACGTATTAAAATGGATTTTTATAATTCCACGTTCCGATTGTGCTAGTAATGATACGTTAAGGACAGTAATAATACTTGTTTAGTAAAGTGAATGTCAAGTGCGTTGAAAGCGTAGAAATTTTTGTCGCATTGCTTATTGGCTTGTCTATTACTCAGAGATTGTATAGGAATTTGAACTCAAAATTATTTGTTACAACTTGTACCCAGTATATCAAAACACAATTATCTTGTTGTGTTATACTTTCACATTTTTATATTCCTTTATTCAAAGCACGTAATACATAATGTTAACACATTTGAATCTGTGTAATGCCAACGGTTTCAAAAATAAAACATAACAAAGCATAAGGTGCTTTGAAACAGAAATTTCCACATCAAAACACTATGTAACTGAGTTGACAAAGTCCCTGCTACAGGCCAACATCTCCCTTTCTTTATTCATACTCGTATAGAGTGCGCTCTCTTTTCCTCCTTATCCCATAAAAGGGAGAAAAACTGTGAGACGACGCGTCATTCAAAGCAAAAATGAATGGACGTACAATAAAAGCATTAAAGGGCTATTGCGGGCGCTTGGTAACAATTTTGACACTTGATTTCTTTATTCCGAGCCCATAAATCTTGATTGAGACGCACGCCCGCTGCGCTCTGTTATTGCCAAGTGAGATAGTGCTAAATTTTACAGAGCGCTCTGAAAGAAGGCTTTTTAATTTATTACACAAAAGACTTTATAATTTGTTATCTACTTTTCCCTTTCGGATTTGCCATTAGAGGTAAATTAAACTTTAATAAAAAGTAAATTAGATTTGAATGAAGCCACCGACGATTTTTATGAATGAAATCATCGACATCATCAAAACATCAATATGTAACATAAAACTTGAAATTACCACAGCTTTACACTTCGAAGTTATGTGGGGTTACATTAGTTTGTAAAATCATACTTAAATACTAGTAGTTAAGTTACAAAACTTAAAACATCGTAGTTATAATAGTTGTTACAAATGTTTAGGAAAATACTGCATAGATATTTTTTTTTTGTAAACGGTACTCAGCAAATAAAGTCCGCACATTAAGCTTCTGAATGCAATGTTAAAGTGCTATTAACTTTTCATCCTGGTACTTAATAAAAATGGAGACATTTCGCATGCGAATTAAAAAGTCTGGTAACCCGTTCATTAAGTGAATTAATACGTTCAAACAGGCGTTACTGTTTGCCAATTACAATTTATATTACAGTGTAACACAATCAATGGAAAATTTATAGCTCAGTAAAATGGATTTATTTTGACATTTATGTGATTGCAAATAAAATAATGTGTTTTAATAATTTCAATACTTCTTCTAACTAAATTAATAAGAATAATGATTTGCAACGATCATTAATGTGGGATATGAGACTTAACTTTTTCATTATTTATATTATCGGAGTAGTCGAGAGTCTTAGTATAAAATCATGATCTGAAAATATTTATTTACTGGAGCTTACTCAGTCTTACTACCTGAGCCATATAACAGCACGTATTTTAAATCTTAGTTCATGTTGGCGTGAAAATAAAAAAATAGTACAAGAAAAATGTGAGAACAAAAATTGCTATTTCCTAAATTGTTCACAAGTGCATAAGGAACGAAGACTTGCAAAAACATTAGACGCTAGGAAACATTTAAAAATATAAGTCAGCCGGAGAGCTTTTTACTTGCGTATTAAAAAAAGAAAGCAAAAAATTGTTTTTTGCATTTTTTATTATATAACAGCGTATTTCGCTGTTTTAAAAATAGTGTAGACTGTAAACGTTTATAATTTATGTTCTTTTAACACTTGTGTTTTTTTTTTAATATGTCGGTGTTATTGTTTGTGATTATGCGATTGTAGCTTCAAAAATTCCCCATTTTGAATGTAACTCTTTACTTTGATATCTAAATTGGTGTTCAATCTTTCCTAAGCTAAGTCTGGTAGCTAATTTCAAGTCGGAGATCTCGCGTTAATGTTCTCTTCGCTAATAAAACGTTAATACCAAGAATGACTATAGTTCAGTGTTAAGAGTATTATTGTTTCCAGTATTGTTTTGTTACTTGTTAAGAATAATTTTATCACTTTTCTTGATCGCTCATTGTTTAGTATGTCTGTGATGACATAGCTAGTGAAATATTATTATGCGGATGTATTTAATACTAGTAAATAATGTTTCTATAGAACATCAATTAATAATTTTAGTTTGAATTGTATCAAGTGTCAATTATCTCCATTCTGCCTGAAGTAAACTCTCCTTAGTCTGTCCATATTCTACTACATTCTGATTTTACATTTAAATAAATCTGTAATGTCAATAGATAATATTTTTTAGCGTAGATAAAAAAGTATGGAATATTTGAATGTTAACAATTTATTATAATTAAACGTTACAGATAATATGTAGTCAGCTATTATAGTCGTCAATTAAAATATAATAATTAAAGTACATTAACCTAAGACAGGTATATTCAGAGTATGGGCGACAATGTCTGATTAAATAGCTCGCAGATATCCTTTGTTTCAGTGTGGTATTATCCTTTAGTAGGGCGTTTAAGTGCCGTGCCGTGCCGAAAGACTAAACAATCTATATCACATAGAGCGAAGATTTGTTAAATTATTCACGATTTTTCCTGGATTGTATCAAGAGTTACTTGCTCTGAATTTTTGAATGTTATAAAAATAAATTTCAACTTTAATCTATCATTGGACTTCGCACTCACTTTATTGTTTTTTTATATTGCGCAGAGTTTACAAGAATTAATATAAATGTGATATTCAAATGCTTACGATATTGCTATAGTTGACGCGACAGTTGACAGGTTAAGCTAACAATTACAACAATCCTGTACCAGGCAGCAATAGATAATGAAGAAGAGCGATTCGCACGGAGCCGTAATAATTAAACGATGAGTCCGACCGGCTTTTGTCAAGTTAATCTAATAAAAGCGAGCGGCCACGGAGTGTGGAAGCGTTCCTTTGTTTGAAGCGAGACCTTTATTTTATTGCAGACCGCTCGGATGGTGGACTTCGTAGTTTCTCCTCTATTACTAACTCACGGGATTTCTCTCATATTTCACAAAGATTCCTTTTAATTTAACTTGTGATCGTTTTACGCCTCTTGTTTACTTTAACGATTAAGTATGCAATGGAATAATATAAAATAAAATTCTTGTCATATTTGGTTGTCTCTTTATCACAGAAGTAGTCATAAAATTAGTTGTAGATAGATTATGCTATAGAATGCTGTAGTTTTATAATGTCTAGTAAAAACTTTTATTGGAATAGTTTGATCCGTCCTCTGGTCGGTTATGCGTCCATTGCTAAATTATTTTTTTTACGATCTTCTGTTTAGCTTTACAGCGAATAATTACCCCGTATGTTGTTTTAATCTCATTGATCCTCTTTATCATTATTAAGAATTAATCTTGTGTGCATTATATGTATCAATACTATAATACTTAAATTCTGGATAGTAGAGAAATATGTACATTTAGTCATATGTTTAACATTGTCTTGTTTTTTTTATTTCAGGATGTGAGCTCCTTCGTCAGTCCATCAATGACGGTAACATTCATATGACCACAGTGGACAATGCGGTCACAAGCTTCTAAAACCTTACCTAAGAAAGGGGCTACAGGAAAAACAGCTGTTAAGGGTAATTCTGGCACTAAATCTATAAAAAAGAAAGTCATCGCGCAAAAAAAGGTTAAAACCTTACAAAAGACACTTTTAAAGAGTGTTAAGAAAAATACACAAAAAGATCAGAAAGATGAGGTTTCGTGTTCAACGAGCAGCGCAGCCCCAGCTGTTGAAGAAACTAAAGATCAATGCGGGGAGGCAAAAGATGAAACATCAAAAACTAGTCAACCAAGAAGTAGCTCGCCAACGAAAAAACTTAAAAAAGAGCCAAAGGAAAAGAAAGACGCGGCTAAAAATACCCCAAGCAATGTAAACACCAAAGTAGCTGCACCTAAAAAATGTGTTAGAGCTCCTAAAAAAACAAATTCAGCAGTGAAACTTGATAATGTTGACGTTAACAATGATGATGTAAAGTACAAAATAAATGTAGATTCATTGAAAAAAAATCAAAATTCTTCTAAGACAAAACCTGTAAATAGAAAAGCACAGACTCCTAAAAAGAAAGGAGGCAATGTTACAAAACTAGAATCGCAAGATAAAGAAAAGATATTGGAAGAAGATAAAAATGAAGAAGACAAACAAATCGACAATAATGATAATAATACTTCTAATAATACCAAAGCAGACACTTCTGTCGAATCATCTAAGGAGAATACAAATGAGACTATCGTTCAAGAAAGTGTTGAAAGTAATAAAAGTGTTGTTGATAATTCAACGCCAAGTAGTAGTGCGTCGTGTAGTACTTCAACAAGGAGTCAAATAGAAACACCTAGATCTGAATCAGAACGTCCTCTGAAATTTTTTACTTCAAGCCGGTCCCCGAGAACAGTTGATATAGATGTGAAGTGTTGTAAATATTCGAAAGGCAATGTTAGTGCATCTGAAAGATTCTTACCAATGAAATGTGAAACGAAAATAGATGAACACGCTAAAGAAAAAAGTACATCTAATAACCTAGTGTCACAAGGGTCTGAATTTGATGTTTATACTTTTACAGATAAAGTTGATTCACCTAAAAGCATCTTGTCGGATTATCGTATTACGAACAACAAAAGCATAGGCAGAGTACGACCTATAGCTCGGGTTAAGGGTACAGTTGTTGATAAAAAAACTGATACCGAAAGGAAAAAATATTCTCCGCATAGACCTATCGAAGTAGTAGTTCAACAACTCAAGGCAAACAAGCGGTCAGAGGATTCAAATAGTGGTCAAAGATCGGTCGGTGGCCGAGTTTCTGACACAGAATTTAATGTCGGTAATGTTGAAGATAATCCACAACCTATTGTGAGTAAATCATATAAAATGGTAGCACGTAAATCGAGCATAACGGGAAAACCATTTAGCCCTATCAAATTTTTTGATCACGAATCTTCTTCCCCAAAAAGTGACCCACCGTCTTCCCCTGTGAAAGTAAACGCAAAGCAGACATTAATAAAGAAACAAAAAAAGCAAAGTAGATTATCCAATAAGGAAATAGATAATTCTAAATTTACTTTGAGTAAGCAATCTCTTAGTTATACTTCTTCAGAGGAAAGTGTTAATGATTCTAATGATGACAATGAATCTAAAGAATCATCTGGATCTGACAGTCCTAAAGCCAAAAAGACAAAAAATAAAAAATTCAAGCGAATTACAGATAGCCAGAAAAAACCTGCATCGAAAGAATTAAAAGAACTATCGAAAGATTCTCTTATTGATCTCAAAGATGACTTTTCTGTATTGTGTAATGAAAACCCGAGTAAAAGGAGACTGAAGTTGTTGTCTATGTGGGCAGGACCTAAAAAACATAGAATGGCTTCTTTAAATGCTATAGCTAAAGTTCACTGTCTATACGAAAATGAAAGCAGAACGCATATGGAATTAGGCTTAATGAAGACGGTGGACCGTCAACCGATGCCGAGTACGTCAAAAACGTCGTATAACAAAAAGAAGGAAAAGTCAAGAGATGTCGAGAAACAAGACAGCACTTCAGAATCTGAATACGAAGTTAGGAATGACAAAAAAGAGGAAAGTTCCGAAAGTTCTGATGATAATTTACCACAAAGGACTTTGCGTGGAGTTCCCGGTATTAGAAGTGCAGGTAAATATTGGGATCCTAAATCATCCACGTCTTCCAGCGAGGATAGCGAAATAGAACAAAAGCCGAAGACACCAGAAAAAAAGAAAACCATTTCAAAGGTTCCAATTCCAAAGCCTGATAATGACAAATCTACTAAGCTGAAGAAGACCGCTGGTATTTCTGTTAAGAAGAAACGTAACAGAAACGAAGTTGTCATGGATTTAAAGGATATGGTCGTGCAGAAGCGTATGGCTAGCTTGAATGCTACGGCAATTTTGGCAGCAAGCTATGAAAAGCGCTCTCCTAAATCCAGCAAAGATGAAACTACTTCAGATTCCTGTAGTGATGAATCATTTACTCATAAATCAAAAAACGTGATCACGGCCAGCGTAAAGTCTGAGCTGAAAAATGAAGAGACTAAAAAAGATGTGGAGGACACTACAGTAACTGATAGGAAACAGAAAGTTGAAGTAATTGTTAACCAAGAATCAGACGTAACAATAACCGGGGTATACTCAACACATCATCACGAAGGTTTTTGCACTGTCTCAGGAATGCAATACCGTATATCGTCCACAAGTCACACTCAGACGACAGCGACGGCTAACTGCGAAAAGGTAATTATACTTTATAACCCTTACATTTTTTATGAAGAAAAAAAATTTGATTTTCATTTAAGGATTATCTTTTCGGATTAGAAAATTTATCTCGAGGCGTTTCGAACCTCATTAATGCCCGGTAATAAAGTAAGTTCTATGTAAACACGCCTCGGGTCTTCATCTTCACATTACCCTTCATCGCTTACCTCTCCGGAATCATTACGATGAAAAATAAACCTTTTGGTCATATTTCAAACGATAAATTTTGAACACAAATTCTATAGAGTCGTAAACAATTTACGAAGAGGAGAGTGTCGACGCTTTAACTTTTGACGGGGATTATATCGTCTAAACCGTTAAACCATATTAACGTAATGTTAAACACAAGCTTAATAAACGAATTCATGCATTTCATAATACTTAAAACGCCTTAACTAACGCCATGTTTTAATTTGTTACCGAGATAGAAAAGTTACATGAATTGTAAACAATTAAACATTATTTTTGTATTTTTTTGCAACAGTAAATTACTAATTAGGGATATTTTTCTAATTATAAACAGGAGGGATGCCCACGTGAGGAAGGGTCCCGTTATACGCCCCTATCTGCACTATCTTCTATGCAGCCGCCTGCGGAACATCCTCACACACATCCACATCCTGGTAAGCATTTATTTATCCTCTTTTCTCTTGATAGTTAAATTTGATTATCTAAATTAAGGTATATAAATCGGATCGCACTGAAAACCTAAATGGATTTTAAAAAAATCATCTTAAAAACCTACTTCTTATGTAAGGTTGTAGTTGATTTTACGTCACCTCTCCTGCCATTGAGGAGCCCAACAGTAAGAACAAAAATGCGAAGCTAATGTAGCGAGTAAAACAGTATACTATAATTATTTTTGTTATGCAGTGAAATATAAGCGGTTCGTTCCAAATAGCAAAAATACTAAAATAATATTATGGAAAGCTTTTTCGTGTCGGTGTTTATTGTGTAAATAATAAACGCTCGTTTAGCCCCGAACATAAAATGTGAGACACTTTCACTCGAATCTTTTCCACAAGCTCGATGCTTTAGTGTACTTAGCAGATCCTAAAACATCGTATAGTTTGCTTGTTGGCGTGCTGCCAATCGTGCAGATGTCAATGTGATGTCTCGGCCTAGAGAGGTGCTTTCTTATTATACAAATAGCATCTATTAACATTGTGATTCTATAGTACAATGATGTTTTGTTTATATTAAAGTACTATTAGTTTTTGTAGCTCACTTGCTAAGATTATCATTCATAGTTGATTCTGAATCACAAATCTTGTCTGGTTAATTTAGAAACTCCTTTATATAAAATTATGAAGATCTAATTTTTTTACGTATCCTATGCTCAAGAATTAAGTAATGATTTTATATATTTTTTGTTTTCCTTTTTGCTTTTAATAAATCTTGTGTTAGAAGATTATTCTTAATGTTCTACCATGTTCGCAAACTTTCAAGTTGTCGAAGGAAATATTTGAATTATTCGATTCTCTAACATTTGCTTTCCAATTACGCGAGCACATATCTCGTAAGTTACCTACAAATTGCTGCAGACTTTATAACGGTCTGAAGAAAAGTTGCTTCCACAGAAATGCAGTGTATTGGTCGCGCCAACTACGGATATTTTGTGGTGCAAGTTACAGAATATAAATTAAAAAATATTCATCTTATAAAATACTAAAGAATAAAAAAACATACAGAATAATTTTAAAACTAACATCGTAATGGTTTAAAATAAATTTATTCAACGATTATACTTTGTCAGATTATCGGTTTTCTTATATTCAAAGTTGCCTTATACGTAAGGTACAATGCCTTGTCGGGCTTAAAGATTCATTCGACTTTTAATAATAGTTTCCAAACATAGCTAGTTCTTCATTTTGCTAATTGAATCTTAGAAATTACTGTTTTTCGATGTATAATAATTCAAATATATGACAATATTACTAATTTTCCGCCGTCCCCCCATAACTGGGACGTTATGACGCTACTCGATGGCAGAGTTCCAACAGCGTCTATTCCGCAGATATTAAAGAGAGGCCACTTATCTAAGCAGCCGTCCAACGGCCAGACTCAAAATCAGCACTATCGCTACTATTTGATATTCAATTTAATTTTGGCGTTAGCTCATATTTAATAGAATATCAGTGATAGGAACATTACATCCATTACCATTGTAAGACTTGTCGAGGTTCAACCCGCGTCCCGGACGACTAATTTTAGTCCTCTTTCCCTTTCTACCCTTTTTCTTATAATGAAATTATAATAAGTAGAAGTGGATTTTCTGGATTAGGGGATGCATGGGAAGGGATAATATTTTATTTCTGTGCACCCCCTCCACTGTCGATTAATGGTAGGCAACGCATATGCAATTGCTTATGTCTATGGACAACAGTCGCTTTGCTATTTTAGAGATTTCAGGTTCGAGCCGCTTGCTCGTTTGCCACCTATTGATATAAAATAACCATATTATTCTAAATTTTTGATAATAGTAAGAATGATTGCTATTATTTATAATGTACCTCGCTCTAAAAAATCGTATCTTTCACAGTACTTAATTATAACGAAATTGAGTTACAACCGCAATACTGACGCTTTTGTTCTTATTCGAGATGTATAAAATGTGTAAAAATATAAAACTAACTAATATGTTTGTAGAAATATGTAAGTTATTAAAAATAAAATTCGAAGCGAAATGATTTTGCTCCGACACTAACGGCATAGCATTTAATTCCGACGGCCTAGCGCTAGAGGAATCACATTTAAATAATGCGCGTTCATTAGCGTCTAAGCAGTGTAACCTATTTGTTATCTCGCTACAGAAAAAAACAACACGGACGTCGTTCCTTCGCACAAACAAGTTTATACAAAGAGGCAGAAAGACGGGAAAATGAAAATGCGGCGAACACTGAAGTTGTTTGAGTTAATCATGAAAGCCTGGCGCTAAGCGACTCGGCAGCTCCCGCTTTGTTTTGTTTGCTCAAGGGATAAATATATGACAACACAGAGATATGTTTAAATTGTAAGCGAGAGAATTCAGAATGAATACACCATATCAATTTTAATCTGCAGCACGTTTGTGCAATTTGTTACATTTTAATTTGATTGTTAGTGTTGGTTGATAGTTCAGCTTTCGATTTAGTTATCTTAAACACAAATCAATTTTAGTTTGTCGTAAGTTAAATTTATCTAGTACGCTTTACACAATTGAAATATACACGACTAATTATGATTTACTTCTAGCATATATAATGTGATAAATAAGGAGTATAGAAGGAATGTAGGACGGTTTGTGCCAATGACTTTTTTTTTATTACAAAAGGTGGCAAACGAGCGAGCGGCCACCTGAAATCGCTGAAATAGCGAAGTGACTGCTGCCCATAGACATACGCAATTGCATATACGTTGCCTACCTTTAATCGACGCAGGAGAGGATGCAAAGAAAGAAAATATCTTATCTTAGTGAATTCTGTAATGAAAAGCAAACTTACCTCACTTCTATCGATTAAAAGTTAAACTAATTAGGTATTAATGACACTAACTACTTATCAAATACTTACTTCGACACTTTAAGCAATAAAATATTCATGATTCGTAATATTTATAAATGTTTTGTAAATAACGTAGTACATTTTTAATTATATTAAGTTTACATTATTCACTTTCTGGCAAAGTTTACGCTCTACAGAACACGTACGTGAATTGTTTGCGATGTGTTTTATTTGTACACTCTTTGTGGTTTTCGAATCCATATCAAAGGGATTCACTACGAGTAGACGATAACAAACCATAACCTTAAAATAACATCTTATTATAAACAAAGTAAAAATAGTGTATTGGATAACATTTAGTTGAATTTTTAAATTCGCTGAATGACTATGTTTTATTCTTAATTTATCCTTAAACTTGCATTTACAACGTGGAATGAAGCACTTAAAAATTATGTTTAACATCTTTTGACTTTAAGATTTCACTAAAATTAATTTTAATAAAGCGACAACATAAAACAAAGCAAAGTAATGCAGTTAGTTTATCAAAGGCCAGTCTATTTTCCATGGTCTTGTAAGAAGAGCAATTTAAATTTTAAGTTTGTCGACAGTTGTTTCGCCGTAGCATCTCTGCTATAATAATGCGAATTACGAGCCTCTTGAAGCAAAGCTCGCGTAAGCCTCTCCTTTTCAGCAGACGTCATTATAATTAGGTACATATGTCGCCGTACAATTGTAAACATCGTCATATTATAATCATACCACTGATTTAATAAAATATAAAGATAACTGAACTTAATTTACCTACACTTGAAACGTTTATATCTACATTTTTAAGCCACAGCGTGAATCTGTTTGGTTATAAAATTGCCAGTAATGTTTTAAAATAAAATGTTTTATTATTTTACGGTGACATACATAAATAAGTAATGTTAACATCACTGTACTACGGTGATTTCTCTAATCTACTTGACGCCACTTGCTAACCAACAATAAAGCACTTACAGTCAAGTTAGAAGTAAGTTTTCAAGTGCTGGAGCTTAAATGTAATGCACAAGAGGAGTAAACCTAAGTTTGTTCCTTGTGCTTTTGCTTGCCATTTTATTTTAAATGTTGCATCAAAGTTTATTTACAGCTTATGAAGAACGGTTTTGTAAAGATACATTATTGTTGACTCACAATGAATGTAGGATTTACGTAGACTTTATATAATTTTTTTCAAACGAAATCCATTTGAATTTTCATTTACCGTGGGTTTCTGGGACCAAAAACTCTGTTTATAACATGTTATCTCTGTTTTGTCAAAGATGAGAGACAGGAATAACGATATGTTTTATACAGAGATTTTGACCTCAGAAACCCACGGTTAAACCTGTAAAAGCGTTTCATAACAAAGTTACATTTACTATTCTGCTTTTTTAATGTAAATTTTATCCCTTTTCAACAGATATTTCGATTTAACCAGAGTTTTATATAGCAGCAACAAAGTTGCATACAGTCACTTATTACTGTAAAACCAAGTTTTTGTTAATGTTTTTTGCGACTACTTATGTCCATTCCATTGTGACTTCATGCAACCTAAGCTGCTGGACCGAGTGTCGATTATTATCTGATTCGTATTCTTCCCTCGGAGTAAAGTCTGTCATATAATATACCCAACATTATTGTTAATTTTATTTAATTTAATTACTATTTATTAATGTAATGTTTTTTATAGTTCCCGAGCTGGGTGGTCTCGCTCGCCGCGCCGGCTGTTCCAGTGCATTTTCAGCGCCTTCTCCCTCCGCACATCATGATCCAGGTCAGTGTTCTAGTTGTACATATAAGATTCAATATGTATTAAACTTATAGACAAATTAGTAAGACATTTTATATTGATTTGAATGGCAACCTGAAGGATTGACACTGGTAATTTGAGTTCTTGGCTACTGGAGGTGTCAACGGATTCTGGTATTAAAAATAATAAAAATATTAAATAACAAGAAATACAATGTTTTAGGCAAACTATTATGCAATAATAGGTATGTTATAAAATTACTTCCTTATATTTTATTATGATGTATTATGATGAAGATGTTGAAGCGCCAATAGCCTAATGGTTAAGGGTACGGATACCCGATCATGTGTTCGAGTGTTCGAACCCACCGTTAGACTATTGTCGTAAACCATATCCTAGCATAGAGCTTAGTTGGAATTGTACAAGAAATATTAGTAAATTTACAAAAAAAACTGCTAATACTTTATACAAAAAAAATATGAGTTGGATTAAACATTTAATGGAACATCCTCTTTGTTAAGTACAGTAAGTTTTATTTACAGGAGTCAATTTAAATGGTTCTAAAATGTTGCGATGTGGAAAACAACATTAACAAGTTGCAACAGAATTTTGTAAACGCTTTGCACGCGCTGAAACTTTTCAACTGACTGAAAACTGTTTTAACTGTTACGGTTGTATGCAATTTGTGACAAGCTTTATTTGCCCTTTTGTTACCTGTATTTAGTCGTATATTGAATAACAAAAATATTTTCTTTGTCGACAAAAACAGGAAAATTTTGCTTACTAATCATCTTTGATTTAAGCCACTACTAATAGTGATGTTTAAAAAGTTTAATTACATGAATTTCTTAAATATTTGTAAATTTTACAAATCAGAATATTAGGATGAAGTTTTAAAATACTTATAGAAGATATAACTCTGAGTTAACTTGTGTGTACTCTAACTAAGATGTGGTCTAATTTATCTTCATGTCGACTAATCTCTGTCGCTTTCTAGTGGCCGGAAACTATTTGTTAAAGTAGTAAGACATAGTCTTTGACTTGTAATTTAGAAGCTGGTTTGTTTTATGAACGTATTTTTATTACCAGCTTTAAATAATCGAAGGATTGAAGCAATGAAACAAAATAGTTGATAAGAATTATGAAACTAACACAATATACTTGTGGTTATTAATAATAGTTTAGTTGTAGCTTTTTATAACTACACCAAACGTACGTTTTTTCTATTAAATATCAGAAATATTCAATTTCAATCTACATGTCCATAGTTCATTGAGCTTTACCTTAGTTCACTTATATTGGTACACAAAAATATTTTTCAATAAACACGATACGAAACATAACAAAATTAATTAGGGACAAACAAAAACAACAAATTACTTTCTTTATTCTTGATTTCGCTTGTAAAGCGATGTGTATTTATAACTATACTAGCAGTAGCGACAGAATTAAGAAAAAAACTTAATTAGTAGCTTACGTGTTCTACCAAACTATGTTCTAGATGTACGCCAAATATTCGTGTAGCCGTTCTGCAGATACCTTCAACAAACATCCATCCATCCATCCAAATATTCGCATTTGTAATATTAGAAAGATTTGTTATAATTTTCTCTTAATTCTTTCTTATTTCTTATTAACTTGCTTTTGGATTTATTTTATTTGTACGGTGTAAGTCTACAATAACTTTGCCGTTTACTCGTTGAGATTTGTCCGTGTTACAGGTGGTTTAATGTTAGGACTCAACTAGTTTAAATCGTAATTTGCAACAGGGTACATTCCCTGTCGCTGTTTGCATTCATTTGCAAGGTTAAAAGCGTGCATATTGCTAAAGCTTTAAATAACTGGAAGGCGAGATGCACTGTCCGCGTTATACTGAAGCTGGAATTCTTTCTCCGCGGTTTCTCGCTTAAGTAATTAATTCCTTTGCCTCGCTGTTTGAATAAATCTTAGTCAACTCCAACATAATAAATGTTGTTCTCCAACTTTTAAAATTTAAAAAACGTTGACATTGTTTGACGAAAAAAAAAACAGTAATTCTATTTTATGCAAGAACAAATGTAAAGTTTTCTGTTTTTAAATATCTTTTATACAATCATCGTCATCAGCTCACTGTACGTTCCCATTGAAGGGCTTGGAGCCTACCCTAAGTTAGGGGTGACTTGCAAGGCCATAGGCTTTTATACAATACAGAATAAATTCTTTACCTTACATAAGACTAATTCCTTCATAATTTTTGAACAGTGTTAGTTTATTTAACTCTATAGACTCCGTCCGCGCGGAATTAAAAAGAACTTAAATAGTATCCTATGTGTTGTTCCAGACTATGTTCTACATCTATACTAAATTTCAGCTAAATGATTTGAACCATTCTCGAGATATCTTGTAAAAAATATCCATCCATCTTAACATTCGTATTTGTTCGTATTCGTACCGATAAATAAATCGGTAATCTTTGAAAAAAAAAGAGAAAATATATGTTTCGGCCAGTGGAAGCCTACGGTCAAACTGAACCGAAAACTTTTGTAAGTGTTACTACTTGGTCATTCACAGTAAACAAGTTCTTAGCAGAGCACTAGAAGGAACAAGTTACCGTATGGAAAACTTTAAAACTGGGTCTTGACGGTTTAAGGCAAGAAGTTGTTTGGTCTCGGTCCGACTATGAATTAACTGTGTTACCTTCCACTGGGAAGTTAGCTTGCTCGAATCGACTCACAAGTCACACGTTAATATTCAAAGAAAACTTTTGTAAAGAACCCATTTAATTTGCTACATTTATTGCGATTTAAACTTTATTTATTTTTAACTTTGATTTAGGGCGTTAAATATTTAATACCCATTTTCACCATCCAGATCTAAAATAATTCTTAGGTGACTCTTTGGTCAAAGTCTCCATAAGTCAAGCAAAATTATGAAGATACGGGACATCTAAATGTTGGTGAAAACTAAATTCTTATAGCTCCCTTAATAATTAAAGGACCCTTAAATGTAACCGATGGTTGGCTAAAATGTCCTTAGATTTCTTTTTGTAGCTTAAAATCTAAAAAAAAAAATCTTATCAAAATACGTTTTCCATAAATTATTATAATTGTCGTCCTAAGTTTGTCGTTCGTCGTCGTTACGTTCTTAAACAATTTTAATAAACTTTTTCTGATAGATTTAATGTGAATCAGAGACTTTATTTAACACAGTTTTATAATGATAGTCTTTAAGATGCAAAAGATTTTACAAATCACAGTTCTGTATCATATATAATGGAGCTTTACATTTGATACGATAGAGAATTTCGCGTTAGTGTAATAACAAATCATTCAATAAATAAATCAATTTAAAAGCTTCGCGTATCAGATTTAGCCGTGTCGAAGTTGAATGTTATTTCTCGTTGAAATGTTATTTATTTTCGAACAACACGTCCTGTGACATATTCATTCGGCTGCGGTCTCGTGAATATTTGATATTGAGCAAGCGACGCTTGACTGCGGAATGGTTCATAGGATGCCGGTTTTTTAAACAATTTTAAATGGCAATGCGTGAATGGTAGAAGTGATGTAATGCCATATTCCAAAAGGCATTTTTTTTAAGTGTATATATTAACTAACTGAATCTGGCATGTTTAAAAATACTAAAATCAAAGCAATTTTAAATAACGAAATATCAAATTTTCTAGTTTAAGTAAAAAGTATTAATGTTTATTTTCTTTTTTTTTAAATTTTAATGGCATAAATCTTTCCTGGCATCCTAGACAACCCGTACGAAACTTCGTCATAAGGTATCCAATGGCTTACAAATATATTTGGCATAATCATACAAGCTATAGATAACGGATAGATGTCCATACGTTTTCCTCGTTCGAGGTCATATGTATATACATTTTATCATATATATTTATCAGATCCATCTCGATATCCATTAGTTTATTAAATAAACTTTCTGACGAGTTTACAAGTTCACTCTGTTGTTAGTTCGAGGATTGAACCAATCGCATTTGCTTCGATTCTATAGTAATTTGTATTGCTAGAACCGAAATTCACAGAACTGAGATCAAACATTTTTGTTTGGTTCGACTAAGGACTAAACTCGCCATTTTGACAGATCAAATTAATTAAGGACTTTTAATGAAAATTATTCATTATTAATTTTATAAGACTTGAAAGTTATTAAACCGTTAATTTGTAAATCAACAATTTTCCTTACTCCTTGCTATTGTTTATTCGTTTATGAAAAACATTAATTTATATTTCTTCGGTAAGAATTTTCTATAGAATATTTTAACGGTTAATTTTCAAGTTACTGTTGGAAAAGACTTTATAAACGCTGCAATCGGTTTTTGTGTCGTTTTAATTCTGTTAAGTGAGTTAATTGAGCGCAAATCGAGTGACGACGGTTCACGCTTCTTCCGCACGGAACGTGCTAAGTTTTTGATATCGTTTACATTGTTTTTTTTTTCAATAAATTTGCGCTAGTTCTCAGTTTTGTTGTAGAATTTAACATTATTAAAATGAAAACAAAAAAAAGAAAACGCCTAAAATAGTTTTTAGATGGTTTACAACTTTGCTGCATGCTTTGTCACATTATAAGTAGCCTAGAGTTAAATTAAATATAATTTATAAAATATGGGAATTTTCTTTTTGTATAATCAAAATTGAAGTCAATTAATACCCGTAATAAGATGCAATACGCCATAAACAAGTGCATAGGTGTCAACGTTCTGTTAAAAAGTTATTCAGAGGTTTGGAAAATATTCAACAGTTCCGTCGTTCCATAATTCATTTGAGAGGAAATTTCCATGACGCAGAGAAACCACTTTGCATTTCAATCGTTTAAATTTATTAAGTAATGGATATAGTTCATTTTAATATTTAAAATCTTACATTTATCATGGACATTTATTCACACTTAATCATAATTGGTTGCCCTTTCGTGTACATAAACATGTATGTAGTTAAAGTATCGTTTCATTTATTTAATTATTTTTATTATTGTTTTCTCTTAATTAAATTAATTGAGATGTAAATAAAATTATTTCT